CCACATGATTCATGCCTGTTTTAGGGTCTGTCTAAGTATGAACAATAAACAACCACTTGTAAAATGTAAGGTAAAAAAATACATTTGCAAAGGCATGCATCTATCTTATCTATCTATCTATGTACTGTATTTATCTATCTCCATCCATTCGACTGTCTGTCTATCCATCCAGTCATCATTCTATCTATCCATCCATCCATCCATCCATCTGTCTGTCTGTCTGTCTATCTATCCATTAAGCCTTTCATCTATCTATCTATCTATCTATCTATCTATCTATCTATCTGTCTGTCTGTCTGTCTGTCTGTCTACTGTATTTATCTATCTCCATCCATTCGACTGTCTGTCTATTCATCCAGTCATCATTCTATTTATCTATCCATCCATCCATCCATCCATCCGTCTATCTATCCATTCAGCCTTTCATCTATCTATCTATCTATCTATCTATCTATCTACTGTATTTATCTATCTCCATCCATTCGACTGTCTGTCTATCCATCCAGTCATCTTTCTATCTATCCATCCATCCATCCATCTGTCTGTCTATCTATCCATTAAGCCTTTCATCTATCTATCTATCTATCTATCTATCTATCTATTTATCTGTCTGTCTGTCTGTCTACTGTATTTATCTATCTCCATCCATTCAACTGTCTGTCTATCCATCCAGTCATCATTCTATTTATCTATCCATCCATCCGTCTGTCTGTGTATCTATCCATTCAGCCTTTCATCCATCTGTCTATCTATCTATCTATCTATCTATCTATCTATCTATCTATCTATCTATCCATGCCTTCACCCATTCTTCCATCCATCCATCCATCTATCAGTCCTTCATTCTTTCTATCTAGATTTCGTGGTTAAGCTTTAGTGCAAGGACAGACTTGTAAAAATAAAAACAAAATACATATTTATTATAAATAAAAAATAAATCTAAACACAAATAAAAATAAATGTAAAGAAAAAATATAAATTAAAAAAACCAGAGTCAAATTCCGAGGGAGAAAAGACAAATGTATCCAGAATGGAATAATAGCTTACTGAATACTGTGTAGTAAATATTTACGCATTTGGCAGTTCAAACTGCATGGTGAAAACATTTTAAAAAATAGTAACAGAAACAGCAGGTATTACCACATAAATGTTTCAAACAGTACTAAGCTACATTTTTTTCACATGACTTCACATCGCACATTTAATTCTTGGAATTGAAATTATTATTTTGCATTTTTGAATGGTAGTATGCTATTCAGAACACAGCCGGTTGTGAAAACACTTGCTGCATTTGTGACATAAAATGATATATATTTTTTTTAATTCTCAAAGTCAGCATATTTTGAGAATGACTGTTAAGTGTGTGTTGTTGTTATCAGGTTCTCCTCGCTGATGGAGTCAGTTTAAAGTCATTTACACATTTCATTACGCTGATCAGCTCTGGGCGACACGTAATGTCACAACTTGCTTACGAGGCATTGTCCTGTATGGTGTGATGCAGCGCTGGATGTTGTTTCTGGGAGACAGATTTCATTAAGCGGTGTGAGCAGTGCCAGTCACTCATCTAAAATACTGATCAACAGAACAGTCTTAAAGAAACAGCTCACCTAAAAATAAAACGTTACCATTTACTCACCCTCATGTTGTTCCAAACATGTATGACTTTTTGTCCACACTTTGAAAACACTATTTCATGTGGAAAGTTTTGGTTGGTTCCTCACACAAAGCTATTGTATGAATTCAGAATATGTGGAATATAGTCTCAAGAGCAGCGTGAACATTCTGTAAAACATCTCCTGTTGAGTTACACAAAAGAAAGTCATAAGAGTTTAAAACTACATGAGAGAGAGTAAATGAGGACAGACCTTCAATTTTGGGTGAACAGTTATACTTCAAACGGTCATTGAATTTACTGCACTGCCATTATGGCTTTCAGCGTCGTCTTCATAAAACCACATCTATTCATTAAACTGCCAGCAAGAACAGCACTGCTGCCCCAGTGTAATTCATTTACTCCATGCGTCTCTGTGCAAAGATTGAATGTCGCTCTGTGGCATTGGGTGATCTCAGACAACATAATGAATGTAATGTAATTCCTCACATCAACTGTTGAAATGTTTTAGTTGCACTGTAACTGAACTGTGCTTTTTCACCTGTGGTGTAGCACTACCACCTGTGTGTGTGTGTGTGTGTGTGTGTGTGTGTGATGTGCGTGTCTGCATTACATAAACATGTTTTTGTGCACATCTAATGTGAGGAATATCGGTGTGTGTTTGTTTGGTGTGGATATGTGCTGCATGTTGGGCTGTAGTATGGATTAAGACAGCATCTGTTTAGAAATGACTTCTGATTTGACCCATTTGCACTGGTTGACACCCTGCTGCACAGAAAACAAATCTTACACTCAAAAATAAAAGGTTTATGAAGAAAAAAAGTGGTGCTTGTTCATGCAAACGTTGCCACCTTGATGCTAGTGTAAGCAGGGTTATTTTAGTAATGGTTTAGTAATTCAAAAATTATTTTAATCGTTTTTTTTATGTCTATTTTATTATTTTTTATTTTAGTTTGAGTTATTTTAGTACATAGTTACACTAAATTAAAATGAGAAATGTTCCCTCCCTATTTCAGTTAAAACCATTTTAATGCAAGTTTTTATGGCTTTAGTTAATAACCCTGATTGTAAGTCATTTCTAGGGTTTTGATATTTAATATGAAACTCTTAAAAAACTAAGTTTGTCTTGACAAAGTATGCTTTTCTAGTTAAAAATGAGTGATATGAAGTTCTTTGGATTTCAATTCATTTTTATTCTACTTCCTTGCATTTAAATGTGAGTTGTTTTGAAATGTGAATTGTACATTGAAATGTGAAATGTGAATTCTGCATCCACCTCAATACAAACTGAATTCAAATTGTTTACATATATTCATCATACTAAGACATATTATTGGTAGATCTAGAGTGACAACTGATATTTATATGCATTTTATGTAAGTAGTCTGCGATACTGTTATAAAGATCTCATTGATATCATGAGCCATAAAAGCCAAATTTATCAAAAATGACATTCAACAAAAAAAATGCATATGCATTTTTTTTGGATTTAAATTTTTTTATCTAAAGGTTAAAAAAATTATGTCTATTAATTTAGATGTCAGGCTTTAAAAAGGGTTAGAATAGCTGGACAACTGAACAAACACCAAATCTTAAGGAGAAAACTGAGCCACATTTAGGATCTAAAATATCATAGAGATTTAGGAGTGTATTTTTTTTTTTACCTTCGGCCAGTAAACAACCACTTAGTAACCACCCAGAACACCCCAGCAACCAGCTAGCAATGAAAAACCTCTCTAGCATTGTTGCGGCAAGTGCAAATTGCAAACTCTGTACTCTCTCATCTGTGTGAAAAAATGTGAACAATTGTAGCTTTAGCTTGTTACTGGGAACTTTCTCTTCCAGGTTACAGGTTAACCTTGAGAAATCTAGTAACCTATAAGTGCTTCTTAATTGGTTGAAGGAAAAACTGGAAAATTAGACATGATTTCACAACTGATCTACACAGGCTAATACTGAATGTGACACAAAGCCTGCAATTTAGTCTTCAATGAAGAGAGAACACCTCATAGTCTTGACGTAACAGCCGGCCACTTGACGTAACTGTTCTACACTCCTACAGCGTACACTGTGTCCTTCATAGTACACACTACACATGCAGTGCCAACCCTACACAGATCTTCCTTACATTTCTCAGCAAATATGCTAACAGAGACATCTAAATCCTGTCTACTTGCTTATAACTACAACATACAAAACTCATCATCAAATGAGCTAAAATATAGACATTATTCCTGTGAGGGCAAAGTTTATTCTTATTATTAAAAGTAAAATCATATCAGGTCATATCTCAGGTCATAAAACACTGTTCTAAAAAAGTATTACTCTGAAAGCACTGCTCTGAAGGAGAACAAGGACACAAGGGCAATCAGGTCATTCTACAAAATCTTTCAGGTTTTCACATAAATGCTAATAAATGACATTTCTACCTATATTCCACACATATATTTGAAAACAACAGTTGATTTTTACTAATCATCTCCTGTTTTACTAATTATTCATTTTCTCCCAAAATCATCTTGATATGACTGACAACTGAAGATTTATAATTATGATTGTGATGATGTTTCTCCATTTGCACTGGAGCTTATATTTAGCCGGGCTCTTTCGAATTTGGAAACTGTCACCCACCACTGCAATTTCTTAATAACTTTCCCTGAACATTTTGTTCAAGATTACTTGTGATTGAATCTGATAGACCAGCATTTGTCTCTTTCTAGCCATCCCAAATACCTCTTTCCATTATCCACCTTGTTCTTATGAAGCACCCTCTTCTCACTACGAAAGTGGCACATTATCACAGCTTCAGCGGGACGAATCCCAGATGCGTCAGTGTGTGCTCCATAATAACTGCTCCCAACAATAATTACTGAAAGCTGTCATTGCTTCCTATCCAAGATCTCTCAGTTCACCTCTCAACGGAATTCAATTTCTGCCACTTTAACTTTCCAGCACAACGACTTTAACGGGAAACGCGCTCCATCTGCTGTGAGAAGTGATTGATCTTTGTTATACCTGCAAGTCAGGAACCACAGAGTGACATATCACAGCAAACAGCACGCATTAAGCTACAGGTTTTTTTTCTGGTGTCGATCACACATGAATGAAAACTTTACTATTTCAACAAGCATCCAACCTGTGGGTGCACCGGCTGGAGATGACATTTTCGCAGCCCTGTCCGAACACAGTAAGGCACTTTCCGGATGATTCATAACCCAAACACACTTGGCATTCATTTCACACTGCACAAATCCTAAATGAAATTGCCAGTTCACTAAATGCACAAATTAACAGCTAGGTGCGCAACTTCAAAAATCCAATTTAAAGTGCATCTGCGTGTATGTGTGCGCCAGCAACAACCCTGCCAGAAGTGAAGGTGATCAGTTACCTGCTTTGGCAAACCACATCCAGCCCGGACACCCGACAGCACATTTTCTCCTTCGTGACTCGTCCTGATTTTTTTCTTCTTCTTTTTTTCCCCCGTCCCCCCCTCCTTCTTTCTCTCTCTCGTGGCTCTTGTTTGATTCTATTTCAGTGTAGACAGAACAGCCCACTGTGACAGTGGCATGGTCTCTAGCAGTTTGGCAGAAGGTCACATCATCTTTCGTGAGGGGAGGGTGGGACGGATGGAGGGAGCGGGGGTGGAAAAGAGGAGGTGGCGTGGAGAGATGGAGGAAGAGCGGATGCCAGAGGAGAAATGAGAGGCAGGAGACGGCTGTCCACAAGTGTCCTGGTGCAGACGCGCATAGAGCTGCTTGTCCAGGATGGTCACTGGTTAGGTGGACACATGTGTCTCAACTCTCATTGGACAGGTCCAAATCTGTCCGTGTCTTATCTGCGTCCAAATCAGACCAGAAAAAAACAGTGATTTTTATAAATTTGCAATTTTGTGTTAAAAACAACATTAGTGTAAAATAGAATTTTGAATGATCTGTTGTTCCGTGTCAAAACAAACAAATAGGTAATAGAATTCCGAGTTATTTTCAGTCCAAAGAACAAATTTTGTTTACCTTGTTAACTTGTTTCCAACACATTCTTCAAATGTAGTCCTCTATTCCAGTAAAAGACACCACAGATTACTCCAAAAACTGGCAGTTAGAAGGGCACACAGGTGGCACAGGCCGATAGGCGGAGCTTCTTGTTTTAGCCCGCTGTTGATTGCGATCCAACAGATATTTTAGCTTCTTATTCCCTGGAGTTTGTAATTATTTTCTTGACTTCTGTAGTTGTAAAGCGATATCCCGTTCAAAGGTACGCCATTTCTGTTTCCCTGACCCCTGATGTTTTGTTGGAGTTAATGTGTTCATCTGTGGCTGTGGAGTGCAGTTGCGGTTCTCAGATTACTGTAGTTGTAATCCCGGCTCCTTCTCCACTCCATATCAGAGGCAGGATTTGTGAGCTGAAATCATTATGTGGTAAGGATTTATTCTAACTCTCTCTCTCTCTCTCTCTCTCTCTCTCTCTCTAACCCTCCTCCCTCCCTTCTCCCTTCCTCTATACCATCTCTCTCTCTCTTTAAATAACTCTTCTTAAACAGATGGCTTCCATGATTGTGAGGCATTTCTACTCTCATTCTTTGAAGTCCAGACATAATATTGATAGCAATTTCATACTCTGGGAATGCAACTGCATACTTTCGGCATTGCCACAAATTTTACTTTATAATCTTGTTTATGACCGTATACTTGTGTGTACAGCATCTAGGTTGAGTTTTACTACCAATAGCTCAAATGCTGTAGCCTAATAGAAGTTTCTCACAGTGCTAAAGCTCAGGAGGTGGATTTATCTCGATGGACTCACTTTTTTAATGGTGAAAAAGGTGTATTAAACAGTTGAGAGGCAGAAGAGATCCTACATGTTTGAATTATGCAAGTGAACACACACAAAAGTACACAAAAAAACATCCATCCATGCATTATTCTGGTCCTGGATGCTGATTGGTTAATTCAGCAATCCTGGCATCCAAATGTGCAAAATTCAACTTGTTGAGTTGTTGAACTGAATTGCTGAAGCTGGTGTAATACCCTCGAAAGTACATCTTTATAACTGATTTACCCTTAAAGAGTGCATATTGGTGCTTTAAATGGAGAATTCACCCAAAAAATGAAAATTCTGTCATCATTTACTCACCCGCATGTCATTCAAAACCTGTATGACTCATTTGCTTCTGTGGAACACAAAATTAGTTATTCTGAAGAATGTTTCATCTGCTTTTGTCCATATTGTAAAAGTCAATGTGGTTCAAAACAATCAAGCTCCAAAAAGGACACAAGGATAGCATGAAATTTATCCAAAAAATTCCAAACATCAGCTAAGGTCAAATCTCATTGGTTCTTGGATGTCACGTGACCAAACATCATGATGTACAAATTTAAGACGCTATGACACAAAATGTCTTCTGTCAAAGAGTTTGAACCAGTCACAAAACTTAACAATTAATCCACACCATTTATGGGATGTGGGAGTCAAAAATATAGTGGTTATAGTATTGGCTAAATGGCCAATGCACATTGTTTGTCACGTCTGATAAGACCCTTTAGCTATGACTATTTTCACACTATATTTAAAGGTCTAAAAAGACCAAAACAAAATCACATCTGTTGGTGTGGACAGTACAATCTGTTGGTTCATGGGATCCAGGTTTGAGGCCTGGCTCATGTCCTCATCTCTCTCTCACTACCGCTCCTGACTCTCTCGGCTGTCCTAATAATACAAGCTAAAAGCCCATAAAAGTAAATCTGGCCAAAGAGAATACTAGGATATTTGCTAATCTAAATTTATTTTCCATTATAGCATTGTTACTATAGAGTCCTGGCAAAGTCTAATTTTAGAGTTGGATAAGCATTTTGCAGACATGTCCAATAAGAAGTTTAGATATACCTGTCAACCCTCCAGTTTTTCCCGGAATTCTCCCGTATTTTACCATTTACCGCTATCATCCCGTTTAAATATTTTCCCGTATTTCTCCCGTATTTTTAATCGTTCTATTAAAGGGTTCATATGATGCTTTTTAAAAGATCATTATTTTGTGTATTTGGTGTAACAGAATATGTTGACATGCTTTAATGTTCAAAAAACACATTATTTTTCAAATACTGTACATTATTGTAGGTCCTCTATGCCCCGCCTCTCTCAAACGCTTCGTTTTCTACAAAGTCCCTCCTTCCGACAAGCACAGTCTGCTCTGATTGGCCAGCTGACCCAGTGCATTGTGATTGGCCGAACACCGCAAGCACTCGTCAGAAATGTAACGCCCCTTACCATAACCATAAATGTAAAGACAGTAAATAATGTCATTAGATTTACCATCAGTTCAAGCCCGAAAGGGTAACAGAGTCGCGTGACAGACAGTGATGAAGCTGGTATGTGTTTGCAGTACACAAGCCACGGTTAAGACAGCTGACTCCACTGTGATGTGACCCTGTGTCTCTCTCTCTCTCTCTCTCTCTCTCTCTCTCTCTCTCTCTCTCTCTCTCTCTCTCTCTCTCTCTCTCTCTCTCTCTCTCTCTCTCTCTCTCTCTCACACACACACGCGCGCGCGCGCGCACACACACACACACACACACACACACGATGCGCAAAACTCCACATCTGAAAAGTCAATAGCAAACACTTAAACTAATAACAAAACAGTAGC